GTTCTCAGCCTTTTTGTTGAAACGCGTATGCGACAAAAAGTGGTAGAAAACGAGTAATACGAAGGATATAATACAGTAATGTCACTTGCCCGCTTCAACAACTGGTGCAGAACGACTTTGGCACCGCGCCAAACGCAGCCGCACTGACACGCCCCACCGGTCCGCAATGATGAGGACTGTATGTCACGCGATCCAGAATGACTCAAGTAGTACTGTCAACTGTGCGCGACGTATGCGACAGTCGGTGCTGTTCGGTATATAGGGGGCGGAGGGGGGAGGGTATTTGGTAGTTTGCTTGTCGCTTTTACTAGATCCTGTGGATTCATGCCCGCCTTGATGAGACCTGTAGACTGTTAAAGTAAAGGAAGTCCTTCTGTTGCATAGCTTCACAAGAGTGTACAAGTATCTACAGAAGGCATCAGCAGTGATTGATGAGAACCAACAAATGACAGCCATCACGCCAGACTGCTCCCAACAGTCTTGATCAATCATAAGCCTTCTTAGCGCGCACATGATCAATACAATAATAATCGAGGGAACTGGTTTCACCAACTTGTGAGTTTGCCAAATGGTGCTTAGAATTGTATTATTTGAGCAACGGATGTTTGGGTATGGGGTAAGGCGTGGTTGACGAACCTTGATGGGGGTCGTATACTGGTGACTGGGGAGAGGATCGCATTCGACTTATTGATAGGGGTCCGCATTAAATCAGAGGGTGGGGTTACTGTACCGATCCATCGGCACCTTAGGCTGCGTTCATACTTTGCGACAGCGTCCAGCGGCGACCACCAGCGTTCCGAGCGCTCAGCGACTAGGGAAGATTAGATTGATCTAGCGTCTTCCAGTATTCGCCAGCGACGGGAGTGAACAGTATGGGGAAGTAGGAGGGTAGCAAACAGCTGGATTAGGCGTCGTGAAATTGCGGCGTGTGCAACCGCACCGTACAACTACACTACACCGTACATTAAATTGCATAATTCTGTGCTTTAGCAGTTGTGCGGATGCGGTTGCCCACGCCGCAATTTCGCGACGCCTAGTCCAGCTATTCCTCCCCTTCCCTACTTCCCATGCACTCTACTCTCGGCCGCTGGTGAACGCTGGTGCACGCTGGTAGATGCTGGCAGTTGCGGGC